CTGCGTCCATACAATTTTCTCACGAGTGGGTAGAGCACACTTGGTCCTGTTACTCTCATGGGTTAGGCCAGGAGAGACTTCGGAACAGTGATGTATTATATTTAGCGCTTATTCAGTCGTGCTAGCACCCATTATATGTTTTCTAGCCTTAGTGGCTTTTTGAGAGAACTTTCAAAATTTGATATAGAAGGTTCTAAAGCAGATATAGAAAATTAGAAAACTGAGAACAGTGAATTGTCGGAGCGAGTTAGAATAAGTGAGTCCAAAGAATACAGGATCAAGCTATTTGCAGCACTGGGATATTTAGCACACAATGGGGCCTGTCTGAGCACTCTTCTTCCAGTTAGAGATGGGCAAAGTGACTGAACCGGCTTAGTTGAACGGCTGGCAGTTCACCGCGAACAGGTGGACTAAAGCTGCTGACCGGTTCACAGTGTCTTAATCAGGAGGTAGCAGTACAGTACAACTTCATTCGTCACAAGAAAAGTTGATTTAAAAAACACTGTTTAGATAAAAAATAATCCTTTCACAAGTAAAAAAAAATGTTAGGACTTGGAAAAAAGTATCATTGTGTAGCAACTTTTAGGTAAACTTGCGACTTTTCAGAAGCACCCTGGTGACTTTGCCAAAAATAAAAGTTAGCACCACTGCTTCGGAAGTCTGAGCCAAGTCATGCGCATATCTAGGCCTACTGAAACCTTGTTCAACTGCGGCCTCTCAATACTTCATCGCTGTCCTTCTCCTGGCTGCCCACCACCATGCAGTACCCGATGAATCATCAGACAGTTCTTGGCAGTCACAAGGATTTCGCGGCCAAGACACGCGGCAATAAGTCGCACCTCTGCCGCCAAAGCTGCACCGATCATTAAACCAGAAACCCATTACCACCTTGGCCTTATGCGGCTGGGGATTAGGCGTTATGGTGCTCCGCTGCTCATCCACCAGACACAGGCTTGATTTCGGCCGTAAGAGTCCAGTTTAGGTGGAGCCAAATCGGGCCCATCTGCTGTTCGATGTGAATGCACGCTAAAGGGACACTAAAACAGATAAAAATTTATGGTATAGAGTGAAAGCTCGGTGTATACGACAGCTTCCAAAACGAGAAATATATCAACATCAATACCTTACTAATCAAGAAATTAAGCTCAATGTATACGCAACATTTCGAAGATGATCCTGATTACGAGAAGCATATACGACTACAATTGATCCCCAGTAGTCAAACTATGGCTGCAACAGAGAAAGAACGTTTTGTGCGTCAAGAGACGTAATAAAATGCTACTTGTATTATTTGTTTATTTATAGAAAAATTATCACTGGCCACGCAGTCATTACACATGGTTAACCAGCGAAAATGCAGCGTTACTCCACGGGGTCTAGTAGGGAGTTCAACCCGACGCTGCACTGAAGCCTTTCATAGTTATTGTTTACATGTTCGTCCTTCTTAATGAGGTCAAGGACACGTTTGGCTTGGGTTTACCACACTTATTTCACATGCCGCAGACTTTGCCTCGCTAAATCTGTTTCATGAAATATTGTATTGAGTGGTTTATTGTGTGTCGCAATGCAATGCGGTAGTTACAGCGCTCGTCCTCTAACTACAAGTGGTTACAGACGTCTCAGCCGAAACTAGAGTGTCGCTGGAAAAACTCCTGCCGAAAGTAGGCGTTCACCACGGCAAACGGGCTTCCGCAATCATCCAATAGACGCTTCAGCTCCGCGCTGTTGCAAGCGTTTGACATCGCGAGCGAACTCATAACGCAGCCAATGGCACGCACGCTTTTGAATGACGTGTAAAGGGGGTTTATTGAAGGAACTCAGCAAGCGGGTGGTAGCTCAAAAGGAACGCAGGCGGACCCAGATGACGGTGCTCGATCGCCGATCTGGTGCCTTTTCTTCATAGTATCAACGTCTTTCTTCTTCACTACAATTACCCCCGGCGAAAAAGATAAAGCCATCCTCGCAATCAAACACGTGGGGACAAGCGGGTCGAAGTAGGGCTTGAGGCGGTTTACGTGAACGATATCACGTCCGCGCCGACGACGGTTGCTCGGTGGCGTGAGGGGTTCAATGGCGTAGTTCACGGGAGAGTTACGCTTGACCACGCGGTAGGGACTATGATAATTAGAGAGTAACTTGGGTGATACACCAGGGGCGCAGGGCGGTACATGCAGCCATACAAGTGCTCCAGGAAGGAACGTTGGTGCAGAACGATGGTCGTTATCATGGGTCTCCTTTTGGCGCTTTTGGTCGGCTGTGGTAAGCCACTTGGCCAGCTTGCGGCGCTCTTTTGCGTAACGAGCGACTTCCGCGACAGGCGTGCATACGGAGAGATCTGGCAAGTATGACGGGAAAGTGTTGATGATGTGCGATGGTTGGCGACCGTACGAGAAAAAATGGGGGAAACCCTGTAGTGACTTGCGTAGTGATGCCATACGCATATGCCACAAATGGAAAAACTAGGTCCCAGTTTGTTTGATCAGAAGTGGCATGCGTTGCGAGCATGTCCATCGGAGTACGATTAAACCGCTCAGTCAAACCATTCGTCTGTGGGTGGTAGGCTGTGCTCTTCGGGTGTACAATATGGCACTGTTGAAGATGTGCTTGAATTACATCGGAGAGGAAAACACGCCCACGATCACTAAGGAGTTGTGACGTCTTGTGCTGCAGCTGTGGGGAGAGCAGTTTCAGCGTACTGTGTAAGATGATCCACAGCCGCGATAGCCCATCGGTTGCCTGCTGTTGTGAATGGTTGTGGTCCGCAGAGGTCAATTTTTACACGGTTGAATGGGCGGTCTGCGTATGGAAGTGGCTGCAATGAACCTGTTACAGGATGTGGCGGGTTTTTCTGCTACTGACATTCGTGGCAGCTGCGATTGAACTGGCGTACGAAGGTCAACATTCCACGCCAGTAATACCTTTTTTGTAGGCGCTCGTATGTCTTGAAAACACCGGCATGAAATCATTGCGCGTCGGAATGAAACAACGCGCAGATAGTAGAGCGCAGCGTTCGGGGAATGACTAGTAGCCATTTCCTACCATCTGCTGAATAATTGCGCCGGTACGAAAGACTATCCCGAATATTGAACTGCAGAGCGGAGCGGCACAGGGTTCGAGTGGTTGGAAAAGTCGGTGCCTCAGATAACGCGTAATGAAGCGAAGCGATCCATGGGTCATCGCGTTGTGCAGAAGAGAAGGTGTCCTCGCCAAGAGCTGACAACGTGTTGTCCAAGAAAACAGATGCAATGTCCGGGGATAAGGGAGATCGCGACAGTGCACCAGCATCGGTATGCTTGTGGCCGGAACAATATACAACGCGGATGTCATATTATTAAAGCCGAAGAGCCTGACGGGCAAGACGACCCGATGAATTCTTGAGCGAAGACAACCAGCATAATGCGTTGTGGTCCGTTACTACATCAAAAGCACGGCCATAAAGGTATGGGCAGATTGCGACAAGTGCTCAAACGATCGCCAAGCATTCCGTCTTGGTGACGCTGTAGTTCGATTCAGCCTTGGTGAGAGTTCTGCTGGCGTAGGCGACGACGTACTCGGTGAATCCAGGCTCGTGTTGCGTGTTAACTGCACCGAGGCCATCACCACTGGCGTCGGTGTGGACCTCAGTTGCCGCCGTAGGATCGTAGTGACGCAGTATCGGTGGTGAAATCAGGAGACGACCTAGTGTACAGAAGGCTTAGTTAAATTCAGAAGACCATGACTAAATATCAGCAGCGCTGCCTAAATTTAGTTGAATGGCACTTTAATAGAGGCGAAGTTGCGCACGAACCGGGGAAAGTAGGAGCATTACCCCACAAAGCTCCGTAAATGCTTTATATTCGTTGGTTTGGGGAAGTCGGCGAAAAAGTAGTGGTTCTGGAGTCGTGTTGTAGGTGATGATGCTTGCATGACCACGTGAGCACCACACTAAACAAGATGCGATGCCGATCCCTCGAAAAATGTAGCCCTGGCGAGGAACAACCACAGCGTCACCATCTAGAATGTCTCGCGACTTGATCGTAAGGACACGCTTTTGTGCAGGAGGCAGGAGGAAACCCGCAGCTGTGACGAGGTTGGGCGACGATAGGTCGGCAGCAGAAGAAAGCTCAGTGTCCGTATTACGAATGAGGGGCCGACCACACGAAATTACAGCAGACGCAGATGACAAGAAATCCCAGGCTAAGATTATCTGATGAGCGCACGAAGACAGCACAGCAAATTCTATGTGATGACGCATTCCATCGACGAGAATACGAGCAGTACACAATCTGGTCGGGCGAATCGGGCTGTCATTAGCGCCGCATAACATAGAACCGGCATAAGGAGTTTGCACTTTACGCAAGCGAAATCACAATTCACGATCAATTACCAAAATGGCGGCTCCAGTGTCTATGAGGGCGTCAGCAAAAATGCCTTCCACACAAACAGGCAGTAATTTAGCTGGGCGAAGCGGAGGAGCTGTAACGTTTCGACAATACGCAGTTTCCCTTCCTAAAACTGCACCTTCTAGTTTTCCGAGTCCAGAGAAATCGGCGCGGGACGCAGAAGTGATGACGTACGCCGAAACGGTGATGGAGAACGCCGGTGAGATGAACGAGAAAGATGAGGTACAGCTTGAGACCGTGGAGGGAATGGCGACCGACGGGATGTGGACGGATACAGTGCGGGATCGTATTCATCAAGTCGCGGGGCAAAGTCTCTTTCGTAAGCTGGATAACCACGTCGTTCATCCTGCTGACTGCGGCTGCAGAAACGGGATATATGACCCCTTATGCCACAGTAGAAGCAGATGGGCGTGGAGGACGCCATGTAGAAGAATGGGGTGAACTTGGCACTTGCGTTGCCATTGCAGCTAAATGATCGCATTCAGGAGGCACGGTTAGAACTGGTGCAGGGGCCCGTGGTGCAACTTCTGCGTACGACGGCGCCGGAAAGCGCACCAAAGACGGGGCATGTGCAGCGCTTGTCATTGATGCCAGTTCGTCCTTGATTATCTCACGCAGGTTGGGAGGAGATGGGTGGACAGACGCAATGGTTGGTTGCCTGGAATGAGGCCGTGGAGTTCCTCTCTGTCAATTGTGTGTATAAGGGCCCGCAATTTATGCTCTCCGGTAAAGCGAGCGTCGCTGGAGGCGTATGGAAGGCGCATAGAATGAAGCGCGTACAGGCGTTGGCATGTGATGTTGACATCCCGGATGGTAGTTGGCTTCTGGATAACGAGAGCATTGAAGGCCACATAGTTGATACTTTTCAGTAGGTGTCGGATGCGATCCGCCTCCGCCCTGTCATTTTGTGCTCGGCGACAGAGAGCCAGAACATCTTCAATGTAGGACGTATATGATTCGTCATCCCTCTGGATGCGGGTTGCGAGCTTCTGTTTCGCTACCGCAGAGCATCCTGCAGACATGCCCAATACCTGACGGAGATGCCCCGCGAAGGCCGACCAATCGGAGAAGTCACTCTCATGGTTGTAATACCAGGTTTTAGCGACGCCATCGAGGTAAAAAGAAACGTAGTGCAGTTTGTACGCCTCGTTCCAATAATTACACACACTGGTTCGATCATAACTGTCCAGCCACTATTAGACGTTTTCGTCGTGAAGACCGGAAAATACCGGAGGGTCTCGGTGAGAGGTACTCACGATGAAGTGAAGCCTGAGTGGCTGAGATGGAGCAGTTGCAGCAGCGGAAGCGTTGGGTTCTGCCAATGCTGTTGCTTGAGGGCACAACCGTCGACCAGACCGGAGCTCCAGGGGTGACGGGTAGAGCAGGAGGTCGTGGGAACCAAAGCATGCTCCACCACTTATGAGACCACGTCTGGTACGGCAGCAATCACGTTGTATTTTCAACGCAGATGCACGAGCCAAAGAGACCCAGCCCAAGTGACATACGATGATGATCCCTACAATGTTTTTTTTTCATACATATGAAAGATGAAGTACATAGTCAGCGCTCGCAATATTCATGTTTTATTTGTGTCTCTTCTTTACTTTGAAATATTTTTTGTGGTTGTGTTTGTGTGAACCATCGAATGTATATGTTCTTTCAACATCATCTCATATCCATGTTCATGTATGTGAAGTCTGTTTTGTCATCCTCGTTAGAGTATGTCTAAGAAGGAAACGTTCTGTTCAGTGTTATTGACGTCTGTGACAATTCATTTTTTTCTTAACACATGGTCGTTGCCGTAGTGGCGCATGGGAGCCGATATCGATGTAATGTAGAGTGGTAGAAGTGTGGCCAAGTGAAGGTTGAATAACATCGAAGAATTCGCGGTACTGGTACAGCAGTCTGTGGAGTTCAGATCGTGCAGATGGAGACAGTCATTCTGCGATCGCCAAATCGAACACTCTCGAAGCCTGTAGATCAGAGTGGTTAAGATCACTGATGGCGGCGAAGTCACTTTGAGATGAGTCTTGCGGCATGGTAAAAACTTGTCCGTTATCAATGGGCTATACGCATCCAAGAGATTCGCCTTCGAACAGTTTGATGGGCAGAAAGCACTGGCTTTATTAGAAATCGAGAGGGCCAAATAAGTGAGCAGAAGTCGTTCGCGGTTTAGAAAGAGGCTTGATGGCTCAAAAAATGCTACTTCATCATCCATGCCATCGGAGACCACAGGGAGCAAAACAGCTGTGGTCGGTGGAAGATTGGTGTCTTCTTTGAGAATTAGCTAGTGTGCGGCTTGATTCGTGTGGTCGTAGGGCTGGTTGAACAAAGGAAGCAGTTAAAGTTTGGAACGGGGACATTCTTTAACGGCCTGATTATGCGATAAGAAATCACAGCCAAGTATGTTATTATTAGAACAGGAGGAAAGGAGGATAAACTGAACAATGTAGTGGCCCTCCGCAATTGTGAGTCGAGCAGTGCAGGCAGCTGGCTATAGGTCGAACAGGTTCTTCATTTGCTGCACGTAAAAAAAGAACATGATATCAAGCGGCGTGGTCACCTTTCGGAGCTTGTGGCAATGTTTGGCGTCTTTAACAGAAACCGCGGCACCGATATCTACAAGAGCGTATGCATGGGCGCCGTCTACAAAAACTTCAACAATATTTGACAGTGAAGTGCGAGGACTTGATTGTTTCGATAGCGCACTTCTTACTTCCTGAACTGCGATGGCTAGTTTCCCTCATATTGAGGAACTGGTGATGGACGCATGGGAGAAAAGAAGAGACGATTCGGTGAAGGTGAGCGGCGAGACAAAGTTGCCGGATAGTCACGGGAAGACGTGCTTGACCAATGAACCAAAATTTCATAACCAAGGGGGTCGGTGCATGTAGTTGCTCCGCGATGGCGCGTCTCGGTAGCCGGGCGCGCGACGATGGCAGTATCGGAAGATATGGCTAGGGCCGCCGCCTGCAAAACAGATCGCCCAGTTATCGCGCGTTCGCCAGGCATTTTCAGCGAGGGGTGCCGCTCACGCGGCATACGGCTGATGTCGAGGGTGTGGTAGCGAGGGGAGGAGCCCATGCAACGGAAGACTCAGTAGGAGCGGTGACATGCGGCAGTCTTCTGAACGGCTCGAAGGCTGGTGTCGCTGCTGCCTTTTTACTCCAGCAACAACAGTAAGAGGCACGGCGTAAACTTGCTGCTGAAAGGGCACTGGCATAGCTTCGGCAATCTGGTCCTGAAGCACATATCGAAGCACGGGAGCTAAGGGGGCGGTGGTCGTTCTTGCTGGTGCTGCGACAGCTCTTGGCACTGACAAAACAGCAGGAGGGAAAGCTGATGTGCTACCTCCTCACGCACAAAGTCTTTCATTTGTGCTAGAAGGCGGGAGTGGTCAGGCACGACGTTGAGTGCAGCGAGTGGTTGGTTATGCTGAAATGGACGACTGGTACGAGCTCATTGCCATCTCAATTCGTCGTAGCTCTGGCACAGAGTTACCACTTCAGACACCGTGCTATAAGACTTCGCAAGGAGCATTCGAAATACTTCGTCATCGACACCTTTCATAATGTGTTGGATCTTGGCACTTTCGCTCAATGCGGAATCGACGTGCCTGCAGAGATCGAGTATGTCTTCGATATAGGTGGTAAACGTTTCGCCAGGTTCTTGTGCCCGTGTACGCAGGCGTTGTTCGGCACGCAACTTCCTCACGGCAGGGCGACCAAAAACCGATGATATTGCCTGCTTGAAAGCGGCCCAGTTTTCGAACTCGGATTTGTGGTTTGTGTAGCACAGCTTCGCCACATTAGCCAAGTAAAAGTTGATGGTGCTAAACTTAGCAGCGTCATCCTACCTGTTTGGTCCACTGACTTTTTTGTAGGACGACAGCCAGCTGTTCCTTGACGTCCTGGTCTTTGGTGCCGAGAAAGATCGGGAAGTCTCGCTGGTGAACCGGGCCGGGCCAAGTAGCAGCCGCGAGAGTTGCTGTGTGTTGGGCAGTGTCAATTTGCGTGGTCGACGGCAGGGTGCGGTATCGGAGTTCCAGGGTGTAGGTGATGTAGTTACCCAGCACAATACACCAAATGTAAAGGGGGTTTATTGAAGGAACTGTAGAAGTGGGTGGTAGCTCAAAAGGAACGCAGACGGACCCAGATGACGTTGCTCGATCACCTATCTTGTGCCTTTTTCTTGTGTTGATGATAGTTGAGCCGATGGTATCAACGTCTTTCTTATTCACTATAGACGTAACTGGTAGTACAGCCAATTAAAACCACCTGTGACACCGCGGCCACAATGTATTAGGTGTGGAACATTCCTTGCTTGCGAATATGTCACGCGTCGGCTGTCCACATTCACACTACGTATTCGCGACTCTCCTCCTTTTCTCTCTCAAACAGCTGCGTGATACTCTCTCCACTTCTCTCCTACCACCTGTTTTTGTTCGTTCTCCCATTAGAAACGCAAGTCGTTTGTTGGCGCAGGGTCGAAACTAAAGAAATACAAACCCTTTGTGAACATTGCGATCCGTACAACAGCGTCCCAGCATCCGCAAACAAAGTAAAGAGTGTGCGCCGATCGCAGCACAAAGGCGCATTGATACGGAACAATTTTGATGAGTCAAATGTGCAGAGAGAGAGAAAGAGATAATAAGGTTGAGTGAAAGGTAGGGAGATCAACCTACAAAGTCTCACATTTGTCTATGGAAAGGAAAAAAAAAAGAAACTCTGTTCAGAATTCCACAAGAAGTCATTCATCCTGTGCAAAGCGCAAAATAGGCTGCTACGTTGAAAACGACCTGTTACACACGTGCAGTGCATATACCCTAACGACACGGTAATCATCAGCAGTGTCCACCTCTTGTAAACTTTGTTACAAGTAGTACTTTATGGTTCGTACGTGCAATGTGTTATTTGTGTAGGTTAAATATTATTCTTGCATTAAGAATCAAACTTCAAAGAAAAGCCTACTACGCTTGAAATGTATATATGCCCCCAAAGAAGCTTGCAATTGTGTCCTTAGATGGTCACCGAAAATCGGCCTATCGGGGGTGTTTGAGCAGTAGAAAAGCTGCTACCAAAGTATGTCGAGGTTGAAGGAGTGCACTTGGGACAATTCTTCAATATAGGTTTTAAATTTATGCGTTCCAAACGTTTTATCGATACCTTTTTATGCACACCTTGTAGAGAGGCAATTGGGGCTTCTCCAATACAAATGGTAGTTTAGGCACAATCATGGTCTCAGTGTGGGCCAGAGGTCGACAGCGTCTGTAGAGTAAAAGAAGGCCTTGTTCGATGAGCTCATGTGTTAAAATATAGCCTTCAGAACGTACGTTTGTAATAAAACGCGGTCCAGTGAAAACTACTTGAGCTGACCATTTTTAGGCCAACGACGTTGACCTTGTACTTCTATTGAAAAATATTGGGCTGGGGAACACCACTATGGAAAGACCACTCTGGAAGTACCACTATTCATGTGACTTCTGATATCTAAAAACAGAAGAACTATTTTCACAAAATTAAAATATTGCTACAAGCCTTTTGCTCTTACGCACGAGTGCAGCAGAGTCAATACTTGAAATTAAATGCGCTCGTGCATGTTATATAGGTAAACATTCACGGTAAAAACTACATTATTACTCTAAAGTGTCTGCTACTGTTTTAGACTCGGTGCTTTATACCACGTAGTCGGCCTTGCTTTCGATAACAAAGCCATACGTATATTGTCGGAGAATATGATACACCATTGATGCTCCTTTATGCTGTCTCGAGTTGGCAAGAGCGCAAAATTTTGCGCAAGTGTGACCATTTTGTACCATTGTGAAAGAAGACACCGGCATAGTTTGTGTGCGCTACGCTACTGTTCTCCAGAAGTAAGAACAGCTGGGCGAATCGGTGCGGTTACAGTATTCATATATGTTACACTGCATGGTGAAGCGAGAGAAAGAAAAACAGGATGTCTAATAGCTGCGCATACATTTGAGATAGAGAGTACCATCCGGTATGCTCTCTGTATACATGTGCATGCGTATTTGGTGCCATTGATCGTGTAAGTACATATTTATCATCTCTATATTTCTTCTTTTGATGAATGATGTCTTGTTGTAGGGATGATTATATAAGGAGAAAAGAAGTCGGAAAGGAGATGGTTATGTATTGATTTAACTGTTGAGCCGCGAAAGAGGTACGTTGCATACTGACACAATAGCTACGAACACAACAGTTAGCCATCAGTAAAACTTGTCATTTATTGCTACATGCGTATACCTACCAGAACATTCCAGCATAATGCTCGGGTAAGCCCAGGCTGAACTCGACTACTCATGTCCTCTGCGCAAGCATGACAATATAGCCAAACTATCGCGGAGCTTCACACACAGTGGGGTTCTAGCACTTATTCTAGGTTATTTTTGACCACTGCCATAAAAAAAGTAAGTGCTGTTGGCAAGATGCTTCATACGGCGGGAACCTACTGCTCAGTTAATCAAATATTCGCAGTCATCCACAGGTAGCATGTATATATCAAACTCGTACCTATTTGTGAGGTGGGTTTGCGACAACAGGAAAAATATCATTTGAGCTAGTTGAGGATCCGTTTCTTGTGAAAAATGGCGTGGCATTTTAAACCGGAACAAACAATGCATGGGGGCGCAAGACTCGCTAACGGAAAATGAACGATACCTAAATACAAAGGCCATATTTTAATACACTACAAATTATACGGATTTGACATGAGTGATCAGGTATACTCGGCTTTAGTTTAGCTGCATAATTTTTGCTTTTTTTCATGGGGGCAAGTTCACTTTATTCGATTCTCTTAAATAGGTATGAGAATAATTATGAAATGAATAATTAACTATAGATTAACTGTACGTTCTGGGCTGGAGGAAGAAGCGCGATTGCACGCGAAGCGGGGATCCTCACAACCGACTGCAGATCGTTCCCAGTCTCAACTTCTCGCAGAGCATTCCCGATCTCAACAACAGGCAGGTTAATAACGGAAACGTCGAAATCAATCAGCGCATTCCTGTTCGAGAGTTCGAGGCAGAGTATAGCACCATCCTAAAGTATGAGTACAATGATATACGAATTCTGACAGAGATTGGTAGAGAGGGAGTTCGCATGCTACGCCCGTTAACTACAACCGATGGAAGGGTGGCTCAAAGAGTCGAAGCACCAATAGACAGAACTGAAGTTAGACTACCTAAACTGAAAATACCTCCATTCTCTGGTTCAGTAACATCGGCATAACAGCCACAGAAACGTTCCATTACCTGCGACATTTTCGTTGGAAGGAGTAGCTGCATTGGTAATAGTGTACCTTTCGATGACAGAAAGCCGTTAAAATGACGCCATCACCATGCTACAGAAGCGCTTTGGTGAGAAGACGTTCCTCGAGCAAGATTGTTTTGCGAAACTACGCATGTTGAGCCCTGGCAGTCTGTTAAATGACTCAAAAACCCAGCGCGAATTCTTCGACGCAGTTTTTGCTATTATCAGAGAACAAGAGACCCAGGGTGTGCCTAATTCATCTCCTCATTCATGCTTTGTGACATTTTACGGCGTGCGATTGCACGGCACACAGTCTTTCAGTAACATCAATTGTGTACCGTCCAGGTCTGACTGGATGGTCTGCTCAATGTCCTGTCCATAAAGCTGGAAAACTTAGAAAAGAGTGACTTTAGGACGCCAGAGGTCGAGAACTCGAAACACAACCTGTGGCATGTCATTCCACGCATTTTAGCCGGAGAAAACCCACGTAATCTCTTCTTCACAGCAACGCACCTGGGCAACCAATGAAGGATAACAGCATCTTCCGCTCGTAAAGGCAACACAAAGCCGAATCATGTCCAGCTGAGATGCGAAATATCTACATTTGAACATCAAAAGGTGATCCAGCTGCACCACCAAGACACATAAAGCAGGGGACTGTAAAGACAGATCCCCTGCTCGAGATTGAATGCTCAACATGCTAGGAGCATGTGTGAGCCAGAGATGAGTGTGGGGCATGCATGCTATGCAAACAAAACGACGACAAATCTACGGCAGTATGAGCATCACTTGGAAGACGACCTTTAAAGGAAGGCTTTATCACTTGTGTCTTCGGAATTTCCGAGCCTTGCCATAAATAATGACACCTGCCAATACATCGAGGAGTTTTTGATGGGGATAGTGAGAGAACCATCATAACAAAAGCTCTATCCCAACGTCTCCAGGTGAATAGCGTGGAGACCACTTACGTAGCGGTCAACACTTTGGTGAGTATATCAGACGAAGGTCCGAAAAGGCGTCGCATAGTAGAACTGAGAGTGCCAAGTCTGTTTTCAGACGAAGAAACAGTTATACGAGCCATCGAGATACCACACATCTGCCTGGACATCGAAGAGACAACACTGGACGTAGCCTTAGTCACAGCTTTCAAGAAGATCGAAAATGATGTCGCAATATAAATGATCCACCCACCTATAATAACGAATAGAGGTATCAGCGTAATGCTCGGGTCGGATCATATGTGGCAAGTGTTGACCAGCGAAATTTCAAGATATGAAGACAACAAATCGTTGACTGCACTTAACTCCAAGCTATAATGCCCTTTCCAGAGAACCATACCACAGTTGATGTCTCGACCAACAGCTGCGCAAATGATAGTGTGTGTGCTCAAATTTCTAGCTTCCAATTCCGACAAGTTTCAGCATGCATTTTTTTAAAACTTGAGAGCATAGAAATTGCAGACCCTTTAGGCGCATCACCTGAAACAAGCAAGACCATGATAGATGTTGAGAAATTTATGTGTGTTCTCGAAGGAATGTTTTTGATGTGATACTTTTTCGCAAGTATAAATCCGAGCTTTCAAGCAACAGAAAAGTCACCTTTACTCGACTGGACAAACTTGTCAGCCGTCTGAGCGCCAAGAAGGAACTTTTCGAATCGTGTGACCATATCATAAGAAAGTACTTGCGAGCAGGACACGCTGAAATCATCAGTGATGTACCTTCTGACGTGACAAAGTTATATGCCGCAAAAGTAATAAGCACTGACGACCAAAAATTTGGCCGATCCCACGTACCGTAGCGAAGCATGCGGAGGGAAGGTGACCATATTGCGATTTTGTTATTGTGCGACAGGTCATGAAATGATGCAAAGTATATGCATAAATGTTGGACGCAAAACCTAATGCTACGATACAGAGGGGACGCGTGGTAGAAGAAGAGAACGAGGTTGGCACGAGCGGTGATTAGCCAGATCCTTGGACTTTCGCATTCACCATCTCTTGTAATTAAAGGCATCTCACAAAAACAAGATTGGTGAAGGTGCGGGGTACACCGGAGTGATCCCAGGTGAACGATCACGAAAGCGCTACTTCAAGAACTACGCCGAAGCCACCGACTGGCTGGTCTACTACCACTCTATGTATCCAATTCCTGACGGCGACACCACGCACTCTTCGTCTGGCGCTACGTGGCCCCGACACATGATACTACGAAGCTTCTCTGGGAGTGTCGGAGAAGATGTCGACGAATGGCTGAAACACTTCAACCATGTGAGTAAATACAATTGTTGGGATGCGGCCTCCCGGTTGTCCAACGTCGTATTGTTTCTTCAAGGGACGGCGTTGGTGTGGTTTGAAAACCACGATGAAACAATAACGGCCTGGAAGCCGTTTGAGAAAGAAATAGAGAGCTGCTTCGGGGAACCATTGATTGATTGTTATGGGGGGTTGAACGTCCCAAAATCATCATATGATTATGAGAGGCGCTCAGTGAAGGGCTCTGGAAAATTCGACCACCTGGGGTTCTTTAACGTACATTCAAGTCGGAGCACACGGGCCTACAACATTTCCGCCTCCATAGGAAATGCAGCCGCCGCAGCCGTGATTGGAACCCGCAACCTGTGGGCCAGCAGCCGAGTACCTTAGCCACTAGACCAACGCAGTGGGGTTTCGGGGACCTAATAATGAAGAAGAAGCGCACTGAGCAAAAATAGTGAAGGCATTCTGAAATTTAGCAAGTTTGTAGACCCACGCATGAAAGGAGACGACAAGGTTGCGAATCTCCTCAAAGGCGCATGGCAGCTTGGGCTAGTTGTTATGGCATGACGATAGTTATATGGCGACAACAAAACGACGACACAGAGACAAGAAGGACACAAAAGACACGAGCGCTAACTTCCAACTGAGTTTATTGCGCAGATCACGAAAATATATAAATGAGACAGTAACCATGTGATAAAAACCATATGGCACTAAGAGCAGAACATGAGCAAGAGAAAAACAAAGACAAAAAACAAAAGCACAGAAAAACGGCAAAGAAAAATATATAAGAATACGAAACAGAAAAGTCAAGATAATATAACTATTTGCGCACACCGAAACCTTCGAGGAACATGAGTTCCTTGTCGGACAGAGCCACGGAGGGCTTGCTAATACAAGGCACCTGTTCGCGTGCCATCTGCGCGGCCTCGACAATGACTCAGGTGCGCTCATCTCTGTGCTTGTACAGCGTCACTGTGTCCTTGAAAAGGGGTGCACAATTGCACTCAGTGCAGCGCTGAGCAAGAAAACCATCTTTCCTGTTTCGAAAATTGTTAGCGTGTTCTCTCAGCCGATCGTTCAAACACCTTCCGGTCAACCCGACAGAACAAGCATCGCATGAAAGGGGGGTTCTATAGACAACTTTCCGGGAGCAGGCCGCATACCTGTTTCTATGTTGAACTCTGCATTCTGTTGATAACTGCGTTTTCAGGGGGTTTGTAGATTTGGTGAGGCTGATTAATTTGAATGGTGCCGAGAACAGGAGACGAGCTCCAACACGTTTTCCGATTTTCTTAAGCCTGTGTGATATCTGGTGTTTGTATGGAATCATGGCTACCCTTTTACGTTCTGTATCCATGTTGCTCGGATTTTGTCGCTGCCTCTGCTCTGCCTTATTAGTCCGCAAGATAGTCTCAGCAACGGAAGCTATAAACGCCTCGGGGAAACCCGAAGCTTAAGCCGGGAAACTTGAGCTTTGAAGCTCGCAGAGATATTGTGGGCGCACAACCTATTTAAGG